ATGTACGCAGATGATATAGTGCTAATGGCCAACAACAAGGAAGATTTGCAGAGATTGATGGACATCTGCGGTAATGAGGGAGATAGGTTAGATTTTAGATTCAGTAGGGAAAAATCAGCAGTCATGATTTTCAATGACAACGAAGGTAGTGAGCTTAGAATACTGGAGGTCATGCTAGAGATGACAGATAAATACAAATATCTGGGCGTATGTATAAGCAATGGGACCGAGTATCTGAGGGAACACGAAATATACGTGACGACTAAAGGTAACAGTAATGCAGCAGTCATGAAAAATAGGGCACTGTGGAATTACAATAGGTATGATGTTGTGAGAGGAATATGGAAAGGGGTCATGGTTCCATGACGTTCAGCAATGCGGTCTTGTGCATGAGATCAGAAGTTCAAGCAAGATTAGAAATTAAGCAACGTGGAATAGGTAGGCTTGCTTTAGGAGCTCACGGGAATACACCAAATCAGGGAGTACAAGGTGATATGGGATGGACATCATTTGAGGGCAGGGAAGCTAGCAGCAAGATAAAATTTGAGAAGCGATTGAGAGAAATGGGGGAAGAGCGTTGGGCTAGGAAGGTTTTCAGCTACTTGTACATGAAGAATGTCGATACAAAATAGAGGAAGCGAACCAGGAAGTTGACTGGTAAATACTTAAAAAACAGCAGGTGGCCAAACCAAAAAGAACTATCGGTTAAGAAAAAAGTGAAGGAAACGGAGACTGACATGTGGAGAATGGGCATGATTAAGAAGTCCGCACTAGAGATCTATCGAACTTTTAAGCAGGAAATTGCCAAGGAAAGGATCTATGATAATACTCGGGGTATTTCTCTACTGTTTGAGGCCAGGACGGGAGTACTGCGAACCAAGACATATCGGGCCAAATACGAAGGGGTCGACACAATATGCAGTGCGTGTGGAGAGGAAGAAGAAGCTGCCGAACACTTGATAATGTTCTGTAAAGGGCTTCACCCTATAGTTCAGGGTGATGGCGCAGAGTTTTTCAAAGCACTGGGATTTAGGGACAGCGAGGGCAAAATAGACTTTAAGCGGGTAGACTTAACTAGAAGGAGGTTATCTGATTGGTGGCTAAAGTCAAGGCACGAGTGAAAATTAAACCCTTCACTGCGAAGTACGAATCGTCAACTTCATTATTTAAAGGAAAAAAAAGATAAATGTAATGGTTAGTTCACTAAGTATTACGGCTAGGTGGCGTTAGCCGCCGCCCGATCTAAAGGGTACAGCCACATCCATCCATCCATCCATCCATGTCGACAGAAAAGAGTGACGTTGGGCCATGCTGCTCCGGAAACCTTTTGTCTGCAAGGCGCACACATGCAGTCATGCGTTGTCACCTGCATTGTTGTTGTCGCCGTTGATAATGTCGATCAGGGTCAAATATGACAGTCTTGAGCTTCGAATCTCCTCGATATGCGGCTTCGCGAATCATTTTTACTTCGATCGGCCCATTGAAAAACAGCAATTCTGAAATGGACGCCATTCCAAAAAGCTAAGAGGAGGTACCCGGGGATGCGTGTTTCGACCACTCTCACTCGTGCGTCTAAATTAGCTGTATTGGTGTGTGTGGCGTGCACAGCATTCAAGTATACGCAAAGGGGTCAATGGAATAACGGCATAACAGAAGCGTACCAACAGAAAAAAAAATACATTCCTTACTGCTATGTTTTTCAATGGGCCTTGACATGGCCCTACCAATCCGGCCTCCCACGCTGGCAGCTGCAGTAATCCGGTATTACTCAGACGCAAATTAGTCTACGGAAGAACTAAAATTCACTATTAACAATACCTGCCTGTTACTTGCTAGTGATTCTATCTAAGATACGCTACTCCACTTAGATGGTCTGTTGTCATGTTGGCGTGTAACATACGTGTAATGAATAGACACTTTCGTTCGCTTTTCCACACTTTGAACTAGACGACTAAAACTCACAATGGTTCACCGACGCCGTGGCTGACGAGCACACGTTGAATCAGATAGCTCACTGTGCACTTCACACATTTGGGCTACCAAGCCAGTAAGCAGGCAATTTACCCTAAAATCACTATTAAAAGACCACACACTCTTAAATGGGTGAATAAAAAATAGGGCAACCAGCATTATCAAGCATGGTTTCAATAGCAAAACAACAAACCCAGGGATCACTGTACCACAATAATACTGCATGCACTGAAAGCGTGAGTAAAGTAACCACTGTTGCACCTAGAAGCCCTTTGCTTGTGACCTTTGCAAAAAATCAACACCTAGCAGCACGCTGCAGACAGGCTGCAACTGAACAAACCCTTCATTTCCCCTCCCTCTCTCCTAGTTGGCTAGCTACTTGAAATATTTACTGAGCCTCGACGTGTGGTGCAGTGTGAATACACTGCGGAATGCAGATGTTATAATCTTTGGCCTACGTTAGCATAGGCCATTAGCTTTTAGTTGGCAAAATGGCCTGATATCTTGAATTGCCTCCTACAAAGGTATTTATTTATGAGACATAAATTGTTGTCAGAAGTCGGCATTTCAGAAAAACCAGGTCCTTAAAGCACACAATGTCACGAACTTTAGAAAAGCTTGGCAGCTCACTGACACATCCAGTGGAAAATGATTCAATTCCCTAATCACCCCATTTTCAACTAATGCTTCGAGCAGCGTCAAGCCACACTGTCCCACATTTCGCTTGTTCGCTTATCACTACTTCATAAGCTCTACCATCACATGTCACTTCACGAGGACTTCTTTAGGCTACCCCCTGCCATCTTTCCGCGCCACGATCATCCCTTCAAAATCGAACGCTTCCCTTGTCGCACATTTAATTTCGTTATGTTCTTCATACCCCGCACAATAACCAAGTAGGATGAGTTCCCATCAAATATTGCAACCGTCACTGATATCACTGTATTTCAGAACCTACTACACATAAATGCAAACGTATTAACCTTTTGCGGTATCCCCCCCCCCTCTTTCTTCTGCAAACCGTGTTTTCTGCATAAACTACGTATGTTCATGGCTCGTGTTATTTATTCCTGTGTTTGCCTAAGTCAGTATTTCACACGTACTATTGGTGATGTTGTCATTCCTTTATGCTTTAATGGCACGTGTACTTGTAGTAAGGTAGATTGAGTTTTAATGTACTCTTGTGACTCTGTTTCCTTCCTTGTTTAGATCAATTTTCAAATATTGTTATAGTTTTATTATTGATTGACTCGTATTATTTATTCTGAATATTTCAGACTATGCGTTAAGAATATTGACCTTACATCTACTCAAATCAATTTTGTAGCTGTATAGTGTTTAGTTTGCGTGTTTTCTGGTCCTATTAATCATTTCATGTACCTGTGTGTGTTATAGCTCCCACCCCCTATGTATTACCCTTCTGTTAGTGGGCCCTTAGGGGTATTTTGAATGAATAAAAGAGTAAATAAATAAATAGATAAATAAACAAATAAATAAAAATCTAATCCTACATCACAAAACTTGTGGCTACGTGCAAGCAGTTTTCCTTATGCAGGCTCAGTTTGGCTATCCACATATCCTGTTTTTGGTGTGCCATCATCCTTCCAAAGGACATAAGATGTGTTTGTGAATAGAATTCCTCACAGAAACAGGTACACTTTTGAAATCACCCATTTTTTTGGTCTCGGCAAAGCATGTTTACCTCCATTCCTCTCGTCCAGTGGTGACATGCTAGGCCATGTTTCCTCACTTGGTCAACAATGTAATTAAGCATATACATTTTATAAAAAAATCACTTCATTACCATATCATTCAACGCACAGTTTATGAAGCCTCACAATTAGCTCCCCTAAGTCTACAATAGCCTCTGCAGTCAGAAGTAGTGACAAATTTATTCGAGTGATCTGCATTAGCTGAATGAGACACCTCATGTGCATTGTGTCCTCCGGAATACATTTCTCTACATTTAGGGGGAAATGTAGAATCATTAAAAGAGAAGCACTTCCAGAAGAAACTATATTTCAGTCTTTTTCAATCTGCCATGGCCCATCACTTGTAGAGACTCTATGGTAAAAAAATGGTGAGAGCAGTGGTGATTTACTTCCTTGTTAACCATTTTGTTTTTGCTCGTATAGCAAGACAAATAAAAAGAGCTATCTTTTTTGGCACAACACCTTCCAGCAGAATATGCATCGGATCATGCAGTCTGTCTTTTGTCAAGGAAAAAAAAAAGGAACAAATGTCAGCCCTGAGTTGCTGTTGATCCCACCAAGGCAGCACACCGGCGTTGGACCAATCTTGGACCGGTATTGGCTAACGTCGGCTGCAATATTGGCTCAAGGTCGGCAAATTGGCTAAGTGCAACTTCTTCCGATGTAGGACCGATGTTCAAGCCAACCTGGGGCCGACGTTCAGCCGTTGCATTTGCCGATATCCAGCCGACGCCGGCCCACTCTACCCATGTCTATGAAGGCCCGTCCTTTCACCGACGTAGTTGCCAACATACATCCAGCATGGGACCATTCTCGGGCCACTTTGTAGCCAATGAAATGCCGTTATTACGCCAGCATTCGCTTTATGACGAATATTGGCTACCATTGGCTTGCCAATTTCCCACCGTTATTAATATCGGCTTTTTACTACTGGCATTTCTTAGCCGATGGACATTACATTACGCCCCCAGAATTTCCTCTAGCAGCTTATAGCAGCCCCGTACGAGCTTCGCGGTGTAGTATACTTCAAGGCGACTGATCACTGGATGACTAGTGTAGAAGTGTTACACGTTTCCACTAAATCGTCCATTTTTGCCTTTTTTCTTGCATTGCCCATTACCCTTCCCACATGTAGAGCATAAGACTGCACAAGTCTAATTACTGTCTAGTTTTCTTCATAAAATCTTCCTCAGTTTTGCGTAAAAGTGTAACATAGGCTGTTCTAGCAAGTATTAGATAAAAAAACATTAACTAAAATAACTGCTCTGTGCAAATATTCCGCACACAAGCAATCTATAAATAAGAATACCAGAATAAAATTTTTGTAACTTTATTTCTAAGTATACCAAGACAAACCATTTATTTTTCAGTTCGGCTCTTCAAGTTACTGCAGTTCAGTAATGCAGCCCAAACTAGGAGGCGAGTTCAGCAAGGCTCTATGGGCATAGGGCTGGCCAGGGCAGCAGAAGTTGGGCGATGATTCAGAGGCTGCAGCAGGAGATGAGGCAATGACAGTGGGCTGCCCAGGGTCCTCTAAGCAGCGATTGGGCAGGAAACCAACCATCACAGGCTGTCGCAGATCCCTGCTCCTAGGGGCAGCAGCGACCGGGCTGCAAATCTATGAACACATCTGTGAAGGGCTTTACCTAACATCCATCGAGGCCAACAAACTTCAAAAACCACGTCTTGATGAAACGCGGAGTTTTTTCAGACAGCTGCATACGTAAACAGAAGTAAACACCTCAAAATAAGTTCTGAGCACTGCAGTATAACATATATGCAAGTGAAAACAATGAAAAACAATGACAGAAGACGTTATAATGTACTATCCAGATCAAATGCCACGTGGCCATTATGAAAATAAATGAACAAGTACTTCAACAGTCATTGTGCAAAAAAAAGTCTGCCTCAGACCAAAATATTTAGGAATAGGTTTCAATTAAAGTTGATTAAAACAAGTTTGTTTGACTAATTTACAAATTAACACCAGGTCTTTCATAATTGCTACACATGACTTACAGGGTTGCAAGCCAGGTGAACTAGTCTGCAGCTATAGCCTACGGCTGTATAAATTTATGACAGGACAACAAGACACACGACCGCACGAGCTTTCAACTCTGGATTAGTCTTCGGCACACGTCAGCTAATACTGCACAAGAGGATGACAGACCACCAGAGAGACAACACAAGATAAAAGAATCTATTCTAACGCAATTTCAGCACTGACACTTGTGGATTATTGCAAGGCTCCTGTACCAATTTTAAAATGGTATCTCCAAAGGCTATGAAAGATGTGCTGATGTGGTTTCCTATGTTGTTCTTTTCGCATAAAGTAACCCTCCAAACTTTCGCGTGCTTTTCGAGACTTGCATTCATCCAAAGTCTTGGTTTCAAAGGAGACCGGGACTGGATAGCTATCTCACCAAAAAGCAGTACTTTACAGAAACTCGCGACAAAATTCAGCCCTTTGTTGACCTGCTGCAGGGAGAGCACGAACTTTTGGCGCTGCCGTGCTTCATTTTGGAATGAACAGCTCTAAAAGCTGTGGTTTTAAAAAAAAAACTCACTGAAAGCTACTCTCACATAAATAGCACTTGAAAACAGAGAGAAGCTCTGCAAAGCGGACTACATCTATGCATGTGGCATCGAAGAGACACTGTTGTGCAGTAATGGCAACTTCCTCGTGATCAATTTCTGGTTGGAATTTTTTGCTATGGTAGTACTGGCTTATATGCCCGTGTGGCGCCGATACTTCACTGCGCACTTCTGTAGTAAAAAAAATAACGAATAAGTAGTGGCTGTGGCATCACTTTTTCTGGCCCCAAATGTACATCCTGTCTGCGATATGTATGTACGTTGACTAGGCAAACAACTGATCAGGCAAACAACTGTGACAGCATAGCACGGGTTGTGTCACGGTCTTATGCTTGATAGCGCTGGATGAATTTCCGACCGTAATGGCTGCATTTAGATGGGGACGAATTATTAAAAAAAAACACCCGTGAAACAAAAGATATGTGAGCATTGGAGAACCCCAAGCGGTCACAATCTTGGTACGCACATCACAGCGTACCTCAATGATATCTTGTTGGCACATTAAAGCCTAGCAATTATCGATGTTGAACAGACATGTTCGTTTTAGGCCGACACAGGCAGGCGGAAAAAACTGAAACTGCGTGTTAGGTTAACTAAACAACTAGTAAACATCGAAGACATTTGATACTTCTCTAGCAAAGCACAAATTCCGATGTTACTTAGCCACAGCAGCAAGTGAGAAAAACGCGTACTGAATTGGCTGGCTCCATAAAGCTATGCTTTGAGTAATCTGCTCCTTTGTGTGTAACAAGAACCCTGTCTATTGCACAAATTAAGTTAGGCAGAGGCACTTCGGCATCGAGTTTTCACCGCGAGAGTACCTTTCAAACAGCGCAGAGGCGTATGAACGTGGCCCTGCACAAGCGTTGCGGGCAATGCACATTTCCTTTACACGCAACCGTTTACAAAAAAAAAGACTACTTGCCTATCGTTTCGTTCACTACACGCAGTGGCACCAGATAAAGTTTGGTGGTGATGGTCAAATGAACTAACGCATGGAAACTTTGTTAGCCTTGAAGTTCACTGCTCAACGCTCAATGGGCCCGAAAAAAAAAGTTTACAATGCCACTTGTTGCAAAATATGCTCGTTTCATTTCCAGCAAAACAGCGTTTAAACTCGACTGTTTGGCCCTGGCTTCCACTGGTGGCTGTCTTTACTATCGAATAAATATAGCGGATACGTACCATCCGGTGTAGAAACGAGCCCGACACCACTAGAAAAGAGAGCAAGAGCAGAATTTTGCTCAGCTGACCGCTTGGATGCAACGCTGCCTCCTCTTTCTACGTTCTCCCTTTCCTCTATACGTCCTCCTTTTTACATACTGTTGCACTTGAATATGCTGCAGTAACGCCAGCGCCCTTTGTTTTTTTAGAGAAATATATTTTTTAGTGCGCAAGGAACGTTTCAAAAGGAAGATATAGCAGAGAGATAAGACAGAGCGCGCACTTGCAGCCAATTTTATTGCACAGATGACAGAAATATATATACGGTCAAGAGGGCGAGGAGATCACTCACAGAAGAAAGAAGAAATGATGGCGCATGCGCCAGACCACCTTATTCCAGTCTTGAAATGACTTCTTAACTGAAAAGATACCTGTATTCACTATCCGGCAGATCGACAGTTATCTTTTCTGTTAAGTTGTCCTTTTAGGATTGAAATAAGGTGGTCTGGTGCATGCGCCATCATTTGTCCTTTCTTCTGTGTGTGATCTCCTTGCCCTCTAGACCGTATATATATTCCGGCCATCTGTGCAATAAAATTGGCTTTAAGTATGCGCTCTGTCCTATCTCTCTGCTATATCTTCCCTCTGCAACATTCTCTGTGCACAAAGGAAGTATATTTCTCTCAAAAAATGCAATACCAACCAGCCCAAGTAGCCAATCCTTTGGTTTTGTTACGGCGATGCGCGCGCGCACCATCTCTGCCAGCCGCTACTCTCCTCTGTGGGAGCAGCTGAGAATTGCGCGATCTCACCGCCAGTGTGGCCGTGGGAACTCCAGCGCTGGTTCCCTATACTAGCAACGTTTAGGATTCGAGGGTGCGGGTTTTAGAGAAAAAACCTTCGAGAAGGATAACTTCGACATAGCAAATCTTGAAAGACCCCTTTATCTGGGATGAGCGACAGAAGTCAAACCTGTTAGACACATCATCAGCATTATGGGGAGTACCCTAAAGAACTGGAGATGACCAAACTGTGAAGACGCAATTTTGTACTCAATTGAATCTACTAGGCAAACAAGGTATCTTTGAGGTAAAACATCTTGATTGAGGAGGTACATGTATGAATAAATTTTCATACAACTGTGCGGTTGCTAGAACAGAAACCAGTTGTAGATAACTGAAATGAACTTTTCTTTGTATAACTTTGTGCTAGCCTTTTTTTCTCAATCATATTCTGCCAAAAACATCGTTGTCACAAAGCTGCCCACACAATATAGAGTCATTTGCCCCACCTCAATAGAGCCATTTGTAATGAAAATTGGGATCAGTAGAAAACTCCGTAGTGCGAGGAAATGTTTTATAAACGTTCTGCAATTCTTCATTTGCCTTTATACTGACGATTCTCCAGCAAGGGAAAAAAAACACGAAATATTTGTCACAAAGTAACCCAATTTCACGGTAGTACTGGTCTTCGGCATCTAATATAAAATCACTGCATGTCTTCGGATCATTCTGCTGCAGAAATATCACGATAGCCCCTGAATTGGGCACAAGAAAGGGATCATAATAATGCGATGCCATGCCCGAAAAAAAACTCATGACTGCTGTTAGTTCGCTAGAACACGAGGTCAACGACAAGGCCGAGTTCAATGAAGTGGTAGGACTAAAATATCAGTGAACCTCTGATGTTTTACTTCAATGAAATCGAATACTGCTTCAAAGCAGTGTTTGCAGTGACTCGTGTTGCACCAAAAGTTGGCAATATTTTTTAAAGGTACACTAAAGAGAACCAATGTCTCAGTTTAGATTGACACGCTGCACACCGAGACCTCTCATGCCACATGTTCATTATCAGCGGAGAAAATTAGGGATGAAGTTTATTTTTTATTTTGTGATGCTCAAATTTTGAAAATGAATCGTACTTTCACGACATTGGCTTGATGAATATTTCTGAAACTTCGGTCCATCACACTGACAGATAACAGTGTACTTAATTTTGATGAATTATTATTTACATAAGACCCCAGTACACGTTATTGAATTTTATGATGTCACCTGGTTTCGTGCGAGAAGATCAAATCAGCATCTCCATCCACATTTTCTTTTCGCGCGTTATCTCACTTACCAAGGTCGCTTCGCGGTAAGGGTGGTGTTTCCAGGATTGAGAAATTGCACTTGACTAATACGCAAAAAATATTTTTGGTTTCAGTGCCTTCAAAAGGTGTACCGAGACAATTTTGAGACATCGCAAACGGGACATTTTTAGTTTCCTCGGTATGCAAGTAGTATTATCACTTGTCACACAATAGTCAGCCAGCGTGCATGAGATAGTTACTTTGATTTCAAAGTTTTCGCTCCAGAGTGTTGGCAAGCACCGTAGTGGACATTATCGTGATGAGTCAACAAGGTTTCTCCGAGTTTGCAAACAGAGTTTCCATGCAGCCTGAATCACAGAAATCACTGTCATGGTCAATGGGGACAATGCACTCATGGTTTATATGTACCACGAGCAGATCGCTTATCCGCCATTAGTACGTAGTGACTTGCCGAGTTCCCGCAATGTCACACTGCCTTGTCATGTCACAGAGAAGCCACCCACTTGGTATCGAAACTGGCAGTGTCTTTTAAAGATGGAGGTACTAAAAACATACGCGATACTTTCCCTGGCAACACGGAACTCTCTTTTTGAAACGAATCATCTTGTACAGAACAGCGATCCAAAATATTTAAAATTTGTCTCAGTACTCCTTTAAGTGATGCCAACAAGATGAATCGGGACAGCAATATCAGATGGTTTGGCAGTATGTATTTCGGTACATGCACGATTACCTGAACAATTTTGATGGGAACAATATAACGA